CGCTGCTGCCTAGAACTGACACTCTCCCCCATAAGATATGTCGGTGCATGCACGCAGAACCCAAAAGGCCGTTCCGAGCGCCCTTGTGAATCGCTAAGCCCTACTCTCGAACTGGTACGCACTAACGCCTAAGGCCTTAAACCCTGAGGAGATCGTCAAATTACCTGCAGATGGTGGGAACTGCAAAATGATGACGTCAACTGCCTCAAGAATTTCGCAAGAGAAACCTTCTCTGTCCTCCAGCACCGAAAGAACCTCGTCGCATGACTGCGCTATCCGCGCCTCCCCCGCAGATGTCTGCATGAAGCTGGCCGCTATCCCGTCTGCATCTGTCCCCTCGCTGCTGCCGTCAAGAGGGCTCGTAAAGCCAACAACTAAGTCCACTAAACATCCATCCAGCCCGCGCGTTCATGCATGAGCAAACAACAAAGACACACCCAAAGAGGCGCACAGAATACGCTTTCAGCACCCCGACGCCCTTTCGCCAATCTACGCAGTGCGCACTTCAGCTTAGTCCCCTGTCCCCATAGTCTCTATCTGCCTCCCTTCCAAGGAATGTAAGTTTTGTTGTATTCCTTCGTACTCCATCCATTTGCTCGCAGTGTGTGCTCTTCCTACATCTACTGGCTTTGTTGCATTCCATCTTGCTTCATCAATTTTCTCGCCTCACCAAACTGTTTCTGCCCAGCTGCTCTGTGTTGACTACATCGTCACTACGAAATGTCTAGAGCTCCCGTTCCCGTCGTGCCTAGTTCCGCATCAAAAGCTACATGTCTAGGGTTTCTAAGCGTCTAAGAGCCACTGCTCACATCTTGGCAAGCAGCCGGTTGGCTGTTCTGTTTTGTGTACACTTACAGGGGCGATTTGGGAGTTTCCGTCGCACTCTGCGCATTTCCTTGAGCATAGATCTGATGTAATCTGCTGCTTTTTCTTCTGCCGCTGCAGTGGTTGTTGAATCTGTGTCGCCGCCTTCTTCCCCTTGCAAGAACGAGTACGGTCCCGAGAAGCTTCGATAGTAGGAGCTACTGTAAGCGGGAACGGAAGCTTTAAACTTGGCGTTGACCGTCTTCATTACAACAGTGACGGGGTCCTCCGTTGTATTGCTCAGAAGCAGCCGTCGCTGCATGAATTTTCCTTGCTCACTTTGGTATGCAACATGTATAGTACCCGTACATGCAGTGTCCACGTAGGAAGCGTCGATACGGACACCCGCCACCTTATACACACACTCCGTTTTACGACTGACAGTCTCTTCTTCTCTTACCGCAGCCTCTCCCGAAGCCGAACGACCTGTACGAGCAGTCACTGGACTCCAAGGAGTATAAAGAGAGTCGTCCGACTCCCCGCTTAGCCCTGAAGGGCTGGCGAAGCGCGAGCGACGCTTTGAACGCCCGACGCCCCTCCCACCTGTTAAACACAACGAACGA